ACGAAACGGTGGCTCGGAGACTCCCGTGCAACCTTTCGACACTTTGTGCCTGTCACATCGCTCTCTTTGTGGCGCGGTGCTCATTTTGCGATCGCTCGCGCGACCTTCTCGGCACTTTGGGCCTCTGCATCGCCCTCCTTGTGGCGCGCTGCGATTTTTGCAATCGCTTGCGCAACCCTCCCGTCACTTTGGGCCTCACAGATCGCTCTGCATGGTTGTGCCGCGGTGCTCATTTTGAGATCAATCGCGCAACCCTCTCGGCACTTTGGGAGTGTCAGATTGCTCTCGTTGTGGTGTGGCGCTCATTTTGATCATCAAGATCTTGTGCAAGAGATCGTGGCAAGGAGGTCTTTTATAGAGAGCTTGCGCAGGGATCTTGCCACGGAGGCCTCTTATAGAGATCTTGTACATTGTACAGAGACCCATGATAGAGATCTTGTCCAGAGATCTTGCCAAGCGGTCTCTTACAGAGATCTTGCCAATAGGTCTCTTACACAGAGATCTTGCCAAGAGAGCTCGTATAGACTTCCGCAGAGATCTGAAAAGACCTCTTATAGGAAGCTTGTACAGAGATCTTGCCAAGAGACCTCTTGTAGAGATCTTGTACAGAGACATTGCATAGAGATTTTTTGAGACCTTGCCAAGAGGTTCCTAGAGATCTTGCCTAGAGAGCTCTTATAGAGAGCTTCTACAGAGATCTCATAAAGATCTTGCCAAGAGACCTCTTATAGACATCTTGTACAGAGATCTTGCCAAGCTGTCTCTAACAGAGATCTTGCCGGGAGATGCTTTTTAGATAGCTTGTACAGAGATCTTGCCAAGAGACCTCTTGTAAAGATCTTGTGCAGAGACCTGTTGAAGAGAACAAAGATCTTGCTCGGAGATCGCCTAGAGCGCTTGAACAGAGAATCTTCTTACTTTGAGATTGTTTACAGAGAGCTTCTGTGGAGATCTCATGAGATCTCGGATAGACACGTTGTACAGATAGCTTTAACCAGGGATCTTGCACAGCAGCTTTTACATAAACCTGTCTGGGAGATCTCACACACGATCTTCTACCGAGATTTCAGAAAGGGAATTTGCAGAATCTAAGCTGGTATCTTATCTCAGTATATCTTCTTCATGTTCCTTGCAATACTGTTTGGGGTCTCTTGCCGGGATAATGTGAAACTTTTTTGGTATGGTGTTGTGATCAATGGAAAGGCACGTGGCAGCAAGCGGTGAGGGTGAGGTTTCGGCAAGCGCGCGTGGGGCAGAAGGAAGGTGGTTATGTGGCAGGGGCAAAAACAGAGAAAATATTGGAGCTGAGAAAATTTGGAGGCGTGAAGATGAAAGAAGGACAAAATGAGAATAAATAGAACATATTATTTCAAGTCGCTGGCTCTTTGCGAACGGTGGCGAGCACAAGCAGGACATGTTTTTTTCTCGTTACTTCTGCTGTGAGTGTAGCAGAACATGGGTCGGATTGGCCACTTGCTGCTGGCGAATGAGAGCGTGGGAGCTTAGTAGTATTAGTAGTGTCTTATCGATGAGTTCATGCCGCAACATGTCAACTCCGACCCTGTTGCCTTTTCCTCTCCATTTCCACCCACCCGACCAGTCTCCTGTTTTTCTTCGTGGCTTCTCTCCGCCCATGCCGGCTTTCGTATATTAATCGTTTCAGGTGAAATTGTCGGTTTGAAGACCGCAGCCGGGCAGTTATGTGAATTTGACTGGCCGGCGCTGCTGCGGATGTCGTTCTTGTGTGTTTTGCAACTTTGCTTTCCAAATCGCAGTGGGATGGCTGTGCAGAGGCTGGCGCAGAGATCTTGCCACGGAGACCTCTTATAGAGATCTTGTACAGAGGTGGGCTGTGGCCTGACCGTATGCTTGGCACACCTTTCACAAAGGGAAATTTTCTTCTGTGCCTCGTGGCCTCGAGGCTATTGCCCCTCTCGAAGAGAGAGCACTCTTTCACGTTTTCACCCATCTCACTTTCAACCGAATAGTGACGCATCCATGTTGTGATCAATATTGGTACAGAGATCTTGCCAAGAGGTCTCTTATAGAGATCTTGCCAAGAGAGCTCTTATACAGAGCTTCTGTAGACATCTCTTCAAGACTCAAGAGATCTTGCCAAGAGACCTCTTTTAGGGAATTTGTGCAGAGATCTTGCCAAGAGAGCTCCTATGGAGATCTTCTACAGAGACATTGCATAGAGATCTATTGAGATTTTGCCAAGAGAGCTGTTATAAGAGCTTGTGCAGAGATCTCTGAAGCAGATCTTGCCAAGGGACCTTGTCTAGTGAGCTTGTACAGAGAGCTTGCCAAGAGACCTCTTAGAGATCTTGCGCAGAGACATTGCATAGAGATCTGTTGGGATCTTGCCAAGAGGTCCCTTACAGAGATCTTGCCAAGAGAGCTCTTTTAGAAATCTTGTACGGAGATCTTGCCAGGAGACCTCTTTTAGAGATCTTGTACGGAGACGTTGTGAAGAGAACAGAGATCTTGCTCAGGAATCTTTAATAGAGAGCCTGACAGAAACCTTACTTTAAGATCTTACAGAGATCTTCTGTGGAGATCTCTTGTAGGCACCTTGTACAGATACCCTTACAAAGGGATCTTGCGCAGCAGCTTCTGCAGAGAACCCGTCAGGGAGATCTTGCGCACAATGTTCTACAGAGATCTTCACAAAGGGAACTTGCAGAATCTAACCTGGCATCTCTTCTCCCAGGGCACCTTTCCCTTTAGAATCCCAGCTGCGCAGTGTTTGGGGCCTCTTTCCGGGATAATTAAATGCATTTTTTTTGGTGTGTGTGTTTTTAGGTGTCTCGGTTTTGGAGGGGCAAGTTCAGTTGCGTCCCTGTCTTGGCAGAACGCAGTGGAGGGGCTGCGTGAATGTTGCTCGTTGCAGCGGCTGCGCGCACAGTTCTTTGCTGTCTTGGATCATGCAGACTTCCAGGCATTGAGATGAGATAAGGACATGCAATCGAAATGAGATGTCATGATGTACGGCGCGATAGATAGAGTCAAGCCTGATAAGAGAAGAGGAAATATGAGGTAATGTCACACGGGATTGTTTTGAGCAGAGATGAAATGAGGTGAGGTAGGCTCTCATGAGATGAAGGAAGATAAGAAGAGATGAAGAGAGGAGATGGCACTACACTAAATGACATTTTTTCATTCAACAACGACATTTCATGGCAGTGAAAGTGACAGTGAGACATTGCATGACATGACGTGACAGTACATCACCGTGACATCCCGATGTCATGGCATTCACATGCCATGACAGTTGCGATGACACTGCGTGGTATGATGTGAGACTACATGACGTGACCTGACATTACGTGAGCATTACACATCATGACATTGCATTCAGTTTAGTTATATTACATTATATGTTCCATATGTTCCCTCATGCAGGCTGTTTTTGTTAGACTACATCCAGCCGCTGCGTGCAATATTCTGTCATTGGAAGACAAACGCGACAAAACTTGAGGTCTTGTGCTGTCGAATTGCGCTTGTTCTAGGATGTTTACGTCTTGAAAAAATGGAGAAATAATGCAAACAAATGATTGAAAAATGCAAGTCCGGGAGAGGCACAAAGAACAAGTGCAAAAAAAAACACCCAAAAAAAAACAATTGAGAAATGCAACTCTGAAAGAAGCAAACATGAGAAATGGAGAAAAAGTGCAAATCAGACCCGGGACCAACTGGACAAACATGATTTCGGAAAAAAGTTGCAAAAGCCTAGGGAAAAGCAAACAAAATGCCAAAAAAAAACGAGAAAAATGCAACAAAAGTGCAAAAAAATGCAAATCAGACCTGGGACCAAACTGGACAAACGTGATTGCGGAAAAAAATGCAAAACCTATAATAGGTAAAATGCAAGAAAAATACGAACTGCGCTTTTACACCTGCATTTTTCTTGCATTTGTGATTTTGCATTTTTTTGCATTGTGTTTTTGCACTTGCATTTGTTTTGTATTTTTGATTTGCTTGTTTTTTGCATTACATGGTGCATGTTTTCAAGATTGCAGTTTCCCAGAATAAGCCCACAGGGCGCCAACACAATTGAGGTCCATATCTTAGCTAAACCCAAAAGGTCGCTGCGGCCTATTTTTGAAGATATTTAGACGTATTGAACGTGGGGGGGCGTACGGCCATCTGAACGAGGGTACGGCGGGGGTGCGAACGTGCGAACGGGGGGTGAACGGGGGGGGGGCGAACGGGGGGGCGAACGGGGGGGCGACGTGGGGGCGAACGTGGGGGCGAACGTGGGCGAATGTACGCACGTACATACGCAGTACGTGCACGCACACACACACACACATGCACACACGTACGCACATACGTACGCACGTACGTTCGCACGTATGCACGTACGTACCATGTTCAGACCCATGTTCAGGCCCATGTTCAGACCCATGTTCAGAAATCAGGTTGCCTTTGAAAAGTGACCTCCTAATACAAAATATGCTTTAGGAGGCTTAGGGTCGTGCAGAAAGAAGGTTACCTTTTATATACCTTTTATATAAAAGGTAACCTTAAAGGTAACCTTATTTCTGAACATGCATGTGAACGTGCGTGCGTACATGCACATGATCGTGCGTGCGTGCATGCGTACGTACGTGCGTACATGCGTATGTGCGACCCCTTCGTGCGACCCCTTCATGCGCCCTCCACCCTTACCTCCACGTTCGATCCCTCGTTCGCCCCTCGTTCACCCCTCGTTCGCCCCTCGTTCACCCCTCGTTCGCCCGTCCGCTCACCCGTCCGCTCGCCCCCCCGCTCGCTCGTGCGGGCGACGTTCGCCCGCATGTTCGCCCCTACGCTCGCCCCCCCGCTAACCCCTCGTGCGGGTTTTTAACATATCCACGGCAGCGAGGTTTTGAGTTTAGCTAATCCATATCTATCTTTAGGCCTGCCGACCTAGCCTTTGAATTTAAATGCTTGTCGGTGGTGATTCTTGCCTGGTATTTTCTTGTTTTTCTTACCAAAGACAGCAAGTTGCCAAGGTTCTGCAACACTGCCATTGAGAGCGCAGGGGCTGACAAAGATATTCGGACCTTGAAGCAGATCCAAGACAAGGCTCAGCAGGCAGCCGTAGACGAGTGAAGACATGCTGAAGCAAACCAACCACCGGCGTATGTGTTTTATGTGTTTGAAGGGTGTGCGTGGAAAATCGATGAACATCATGTTCTTGGGTCGTGCGCTTGGAAATTACATTCCAGAGCGCGCACGCCCCAAGGAATGCATGGACGCAATTTGGAACATTTCGAAATAAAATCAGTGAAGTGCAGACTGAGCTCCCCACAACGCACGCGCTTTTTCAACAACCAAGTTGATCCTATCAGCCATGCCAGGTGGAACTTCTCAAGGGCGTGTTCGACGAGATTGACTTTGAACAAGTCAATGAGATAAGTTTTGACGCAGCGGGCTCAGAAAAAAATATCATAGCGCATTGGAGCCTGAAAAATGGTTGGATTTTCATTGCCTTGCTGTCTTATGGTTTTCTTAGCTGCTAGCCGCATGCTTTGTCTGCATCCATTTTTTCGCATGCTTTAGAGGCGTTGAATCAACTGCCCCCTGAGGATGTCAAGCGATGCTTGGCCAACGGTGATTTGTCCAGCTTCATGGAATCCATGGGCAACTTGGTTGCCAGTTGAAAAAGCATGTGGACGATGGAGTTCATGCCCAATAGTATGGTCAGCCCCATCATAAACCTCGCGTATTAAGTTGCTCCACGCATTGCCACACGCAAAATTTTATTTAAATATTGGCTGGTACCCAGCAGCTCGTTGATTCAGCTGGCTGCGACAGCCAGCTTCGCCCTGTGATCTACGGGCGCCAGGGGTTCCACCGATGCAGAAGATGAGATGGGAGCCGCTGCTAGAAGCAGGGCTGATGACATGGTACCGCCCCCGTGATAATGTGGATGACGGCCGCGTAGTGGCAAAGTTCCGGTTAAGGGCTGCAATGCGAGACGGCTTGGCAAATGTCCATGCGGAGCTGGAGCCAAGAGATGCTGTGGGTCCAATGGCAGGTGATTCCTGTGGTACCACGACATTGCTGACGACCCCCAGCTGTTCTGCTGATGCTGCAGCTTCAAGCGCCAAGCTACACATTCAACATTGGTCCGTTATAACTTCTTTTTCCATCTTTTTCCGGTAAGTTAACTTTTTCGTGAGGGTTTCTGTTGGATGTGGCTCCCAAGCTTTGAGAAAAGTGGTTCAGCATTGCTTCTTCTCTTAGTCTTAGCCTCTTCTTCTCTGAGCTGCATCATCTCTCAGTCAACCATCCTTTCAGTTACCTCTTCCCTGAGCCGCTTCTTTTTTTTTAGGCAGATGCAGCTGGACAAGCTTCAGGCTTCTGTATAGATGCAATGGGCGGATGAGATGGATTGAAGCGTGCAACCTTTAGACTGACAAACCCACTGCACAGCGGCGCAAGCGCATTTGCCAAATCCTCCGACAAGCCTGGCATTCCCCGGATAGGAGAAAGTAAATATTCAATTTAGCTGCAGCTGAGAGGTGTGACGTTGTTTTTTTTTATCTTTGCCATGCCAACCCATTGCGCAAATTTTCTCATACCATCCCTTTTCCACTCGGCCTGAGGCATCTCCACCAATGACGTCTGGACGGGCGACCAAAACCACTGATTTCAGCCCGTTTGACCAAGCAACTTCCCCCCAGTTTGTGAGAGAGAAGACGGAGAAAGAAGACATCTTTGTTGAATTCAAGATTCAAGATTGCCCGTTGTCAGATGGAAACCCTTTCCCTGGCGTATTTGCGTGGTCCAATGTCACGGGAGGATGCCTAGGCAAAAGGTACCATCCAGCTACTTGCCATGTGCTTTTTCTTTACCCCGCCCGCTCCAGCGTAGGCAGCAAAAAATTGGTGATGGAAGGGACGGGAGGGAGGGGAGGGAAGGGAGGGAGGGGAGGGAAGGGAGGGAAGGAACCGAAGGAACCGGAGGAACCGAAGGAATTGAAGGAACCGAAGGAACCGAAGGAACCGAAGGACGGGAAAGGAAGGGAAAGGACCGGAAAGGAAGGGAAAGGAAGGAGAAGGAAGGGGAAGGAAGGGGGGAAGGAAGGGGAAGGAAGGGGAAGGAAGGGGAAGGAAGGGGAAGGAAGGGGAAGGAAAGGGAGGAAAGGAAGGAAGGGCAGGAAGGGAAGGAAAGGAAGAAAACCCAGGATGAACCATATATCAAATCTTGGGTTGCACACTTGTAAACACACTACTTCACGTGTATAAATGATCATACATGACATACAGATACATGCAGAGATTTAGATAGCGATTTACAATCCCCTAAAATAGGCCTTACACCAGCCCTAAATGAGACCCCTAAACCAGCCCTAGATAAACACTAAACCAACCCTAAATAACGCTATCGAAAGCCAAACTTGCACACTTGTAAGTACACTAGTTGTTTTTGATCATATGTTTTTTAAACAAATATTTTGCATTTATATATATAATTATATATATATACAAATACATTTAATTATATATATATACATGCATACATATTTATATTTATCAAACATATTTATGTAAATTTACACGCACACACGTCACATACATACATACATACATACATATATATATATATTTATATATGTATATATGCATACATTGTCGGTCTTGTGGGTTTTTTTGGGTCTCGTTGATCTCGTTGGTCTCGTTGGTCTTGTTCTTGTTCTTGTTCTTGTTCTTGTTGTTGTTGTTGTTGTTGCTGTTGCTGTTGCTGTTGCTGCTGCTGCTGCTGGTGGTGGTGGTGGCGGTGCTGGTGGCGGTGGTCGTCGTCGTGGTGGTGGTGGTGGTTGTGGTTGTGGCCGTGGTCGTGGTTGGGTGGTTGTGTGGTTGGGTGATTGGGTGGTTAGGTGGAGATGGCGGTAGAAGTGGAAGTGGAAGTGGAGGTGGTGCTGCTGCTGCGGCTTCGGTGCTCATACTGGTGTGCTGGTGCTGGTGGTGCGGGTGGTGGTGGGTGGCGGCGGCCGCCGCTGTTGTTTTTGGCAGGCGGTTGGAGGAAGGATGTGCAATTTACTTTGCAACGGTGCCTTTTTTGGTGTGGGGTGTGTGGGTGTGGGGGATATCGACTTTCATTAGCAAAGGGGTGGGTTGGGGACAGATTGCGCACGCACGCGCGCGCAGCTTGTTTGTCGCGCGCGCAGCTTGTTTGTCACGCTTTTCACGCGACACTCTTAACTTTCTTCAATAAGACAAAACAAACCCAATGAAATTTAACACATGCAGACTGCTCAATGACGCCACAATTGCCCATGCGAAAGCACAATGCTGTTGCCGGCCCTGTGCCAACTCCTTCTGGCGCTGAGAAGAAAAGGCGCGGTGAACATAGAATTTCGATCAAGAGTCTGGATTCTCAGCTAGTTTTTTATTGTCTGACAAAAGCAACTGTGTTGCGAAATGACAGCGCTTTTTCTGGTTGATTTTGAGATTCTCCATTTTCCACAAATACAACGTGTCTATTCCAAAGTGTTTGAAATCAAGGAAGAAGTTTCGATGACCTCTCCAAGGGCGCCATAACAACTCCCTACCTTGTTTTCGTCTTTGCTTTGCTTTGCTTTGCTTTGCTGCTGCTGCTGCTGCTGCTGTGGTTGCGGTTTTGGTTTTGTTTTCGTATGTTTTCGTTGTGGTTTTGGTCTTGGTTTTCGTTGCGGTTGATGTTGCTGTTGTGGCCGATGTGGTTGTGATTGTGGTTACGGCTGTGGCTGTCGCGACGGTTGTCATTGTGGTTGTGGCTGTGGGCACGGCTGTGCGTCCGGCTGTGCCAAGGCTGTAGCTCCCCATCCGGTTTGACGTCTTGGGTCGTTTTCTCTATGCTTTCTGTGGTAAACATGGCAGGACGCTCTTTATGTTGTTGGACTCGGACATGACTGGTCTGATGTCGAAATTAAGGTCTTGGCAGCTGCTGCTTGGAAATCAGGTTGGGTCACCTTCGCTTTGTCCAACAAGTGCTGCCGGGGAATGATAACTATGGTTGGTAAACACCTGAAAAGTCGCATTGCTCACCAACTGGATACCTCTGGGGGGCAGTTGTTAGGCGTTCAGGTCGGTCACATGTGGGTGGGCAACGTGTATTGTGCCCATCATCCTGAAAGAGAAGCTTTCATGACGGAAGCTTTCCAGCTGTGTCACTCATGGTCCCCGAATGTTTGGACTCTTGTGGGTGATTTCAATGACACCCCTGAGGAATCGCCTTTGGCCTTTGGCCTTACCTCTTCAGGTTACAGCTCTTGTTTGCCACCTCCTGGGGTTAGCAGTAGATGGGAAAGCCAACGGGTCATCGATTTTGCGATTTGCAACGGTATTATCTTGGACTCCACTTTGAAGATGTGCCCCGAACGTTACAGTGATCACAAAGCTTTTTACTTTGACGTCAAAGCTGAAGGTGCAGATGGGGCTCTTACTAAGGTTGTGATGGTTCCAGCAAACGTGTATTTGCCTCAAGATACCGACCGAGGTATCGATTGGACAGAACGCCTGGCGGACGCCTGGCAGCAAAATAGACAAGTTTGGCAGGAATTTAAAGTGAAAGCTGAACAAGAAATCCGCGAAGCCGACAACATGTCAGAAGCGGTCAAACAGCATAAAAGTGACCGAATTTGGGACCACCTGAATTTGTTACTCGAAACGTTTCTTCAGAAACAGGCTCAGTGGGCTCAGGAACATGAGTTGCCTATGCGGCCCTACAGAAAAGCTAAACGGGCCAAGGGGTCCATCCCCACTTTTCGTCATGTCCCTTTGGTCATCCACCAACCCCACGCTCCGAATGCCTCTAATCAGCTTCGCACCTGGATGCGGTTGTGGGGAAGGCTCAGTGAGGCCGAGAGAAGACAGCATCATGACAACACTGTTGAGAATTCTAAGGATCTTCAAAAGCTTTGGAAACGCATCCGCAGATGCCCTCTGTACCAAGCAGGAATGACTGCCAAGGATGCCGAAACTGAGGTTCAGCGTCAAACCGAGGCGAGCCGGCAGAGCAGACTTAGCAATTGGAAGGTTCGCTTGCAGCAAGATAACGCTCAGGTCTTTCGATGGGTGCGGTCCTCCGAATCGGCGCCCACTGTTACCTTGCATGACGACGAAGTCGATCCTGACGACCCAGCTAGCATGGACAGCTCTGGTGCCTTGGTCAAAATCGAATCCTTTTGGCAGAGAGCTTGGAACCGTGACAATAGCGATGCTTGGACTCCGCAGCAATATCTTCGTGAATATGGCGGGGCCCCTGAAGTCGAAGAAAATTGGAGCCCTGTTTCTGCACAGGCTCTTAGTGCCTCGGCTGCTAGACAAAGGCACCGAGCCGGGGGCCCTGACGGCTGGACTGGCAGCGAAATGGCAGCTTGGCCGTACAACATGTGGGCTGACCTGGAATTTGTGTTTCAAGCCTGGGAGCAGCTGGGATGTTTCCCAAAGTGCTGGCACTTCATGACACAGGTGATGCTCCCCAAAGGAAACGGTCAAAGGCTCTCTGACAGCGCCACCCCGACCAGCAAACTTCGACCAATAAGCCTCATGTCGTGTTGGTGGAGAATTTATGTGAGTGCCCGCTTAGATGGGGACATCGAAAGACGTTGGTTGGAATCGCATTTGTTGACTACCCAGGCTGGAGGTAGGCGCAATCGAGACAGTCAAGGTAGCTTTTGTGAACTTGCTGAGGGATTTGCCAAAGGAGCCTATGTGGGATCATTAGATCTCTCCAAGTGCTTTGACCATGTGCGCCCGAGCTTGGCTTGTGATACTTTAGTTTGGAAAGGTTTTCCCCGAAAATTGGCGGCTGCTATTCAAAAAATTTGGGAAGGTCAATTGCGTATCCTTTCGTGGAACAAAGAAGTGTGCCCCCGAATCCAAGGTGTGCGTAGTAGCATCCCGCAAGGCGATAGTCTTTCGCCGAGAGTTCTCAATTTGATCATGAGTATGCCCATGCGTCATATTGTGCAACAAGAGCCTGACACTTGTCACGTTGTTTTTGTCGATGATAGATCTTGGTGTTCTCCCACCTTGCCTTCCTTTCTGAATGTTCTCCATCTTTGGCATGAACACTCGGCAAAGCTGGGATTCAAAGAAAACAAGCTTAAAAGTCAGTTCACTCACAGGCAGCCTACCAAGCGTCAAGATATGATGCAGTTAGAAGAGCTGTGCAATGGAGTGACTGAAAACCTTTTTGCCTTAGGCGCTGCTATGGGTTTTGGGTCCATGCTGCCTAAGGAACAAGGTCGCATTGAAAAGGCAATGGCTTGTGCTGCTAAGGTTCGTTTGGCTCCTATCTCAGCAGCTCGAAGATCGTTTGTTGGCGCACTTGCCGCAGGTAGCAAAGCAACTTACGGGTGGTTGGTCCGTGCTCCCCCTGGAACCGGGCTCATGTCTAAGTTGGAAACTCGTCTCCGAAGGGTGGGCTACTGCCATCGCATGTCCTCTCCTGCGCTCATTAGGTTGGTGATGGGTCACCCAGTGGACATTCAGTTTCAATCTGGTGCGGCGCTCATCGGTGCGGTTCATCGCACTGTTCGTCGGATCCGAAGAATCTTCAGTGATTGGGACCTCTCTGGAGGTCCGGCTCAGAGAGCCAAGAAATGGCTTCAGTCTCTTGGATGGTCATCTGTGGTGCCTTGGGTTTGGCAACACCCTGCATTCCATTTCAAGCTTAGTCTGAATCCTAGCTCAGAAGACTGGTCTGATGATTCTGAGTGGATCGCTCATCTCCTCCGCGAGGCATGGAGGTGGCATTGGTGGCAAAAGTACATGGCATCCCAACGTCATGAACTGGTTGAATTTGGGGATAGGGAGTACCCAAAGTTGCTTCTTGAAAACACTCGGAAAATGACTTCGGGTGCCAATAAGAATGTCATTGCTGTTTTGACGGGTGCATTTGTGTCTCCGCAGATGCGGACAAAGCAGGCTGACGATGTTCAGGAAAAGTGTCCGTGGTGTGACGGCTGTGGTCATTTTCATCATGTGGCATGGGAGTGTCAAAATTCTCCTCAGGCGCGAAGTCGCCCGGTTATTCCTCAGGATCCATTAGTGCGAAGATTTGGTTGGGGTGATAATCAGGTGGTGCAACATTTGGCTGCTTGCCGTGACCTGCTCCTGAGGTGCAGGTACGGTGGCAACTAAGGTGGCAGTGCTTTGCGGGTGGTGGGCCCTCTGCTGCGTGGTGCAGCGGAATGGTGCGGCTTTGCTGCGCCGAGTGGCCGCTGCCGTTGTCTATGCTGCTGCTGACTGGCCTTCTCTCTGGGACCAAAGACGAAGAGGTGGTTGAACACTTGCAAAACACTCTCTGGGAATGGGAGCAAACCAAACGTCCTGCCCAACGCGCGAACCTCAGAAACAACTTTGGGGTTGAGCAGTCGGGAAAAACCACGGTCAGACCACAGTCGCAACCTCAGATCGCGCGTGGTCCGCCTATCAGTGCTGTCAACCCTTGTGAATGGTCAATGGCCATCAAACTGGGGCATAAGAATGCTTACATTCAACAAGTTGGTGACGGGAAACAGAGTGAGTACAACTTGGTGTGTGTTCGAAGCCTGGATGATTTATTGGAAATCCAAGACATGAGAAAAGCCATGGAATGTCTTTCTCCATTATCTGTTTTGATTGATGGTAAAGTTTCATTGGCTGAAGGTCGGCATGTGAAGGTGTCAGTTAAACGTGGCCCAAATAGAATGAAACTTGAAGAAATGACTTTTGCTTGCCTTGGTTTGGCTTCTTTGGCTCCCAAACCTAGGGATCCCAAAACTACCAATCTTCAGAAATATCAGCCTGATCCCAAAGTCTCCATCCGGGTCTGCGCTCCTGCTCAGTATCGAGAGGCCTTTTTGCCACAAGGGGAATGGGACAAAGCGAAGTCCATTTTGACCGAAATGGCCAACTGGAAAGTGACGCCCGTGTCAACCCTTGTCGGCGGAACATGGCAATGGAAAAAAGTAGGCAAGTGCCATACTCTTGTCGGCCACCTTCGTGTGAGCCCTAAGGTGGCTGCTGCTCTCGAATCTCAAAGCGGAAAGCGGGCGATTTTTGTCACAGCTACTGGGGTTGGGCGACGTCCTGAAAAGGTCAGATGGCTTCTCAAAGCGGCTTCCATGACTTGTGATAATTATCTCCGGCAAAGCATGAATGAGGCCATTGCTCGTGGCCAATCCTTGAAATTTCGGATGGGTGGAGGTTCGGATATTGGTATTCTGTATCTTCCCACTGATAGCATACCCAAAAATAATATCCACGTTCATATTGACGGTGTCCCGAGAAGTTGGGACGCCACGCATGTCACGACTTTCATGGAAGAACAAGGGTGGGAACAAGTTGTGCCCATCACCTGGAGAAATTTCCGTCGCCAGGTCAAATGGATTTTGAAAGCTCAGCCTCCTGATGATCCTTATGATCCAACCAATTCCAATTGCACTTGGCATTATGTGGACGATGTTGACCAAAGTTTAGAAATCCATGTCACTAAGGCGGAGGGTCGGTTTCCTAAGCCTCAGCATGTGCAGCCTGCCACTCCTCCAAAGCGCAGGTTCGAAACACAGAAACGAACTCATGAGGATCATGAAGTTCTTGATACACAGATTGATGAACCTGAAAACAGTGAAGAAGATGAAGAGGCCGTTGAGGGTGATGGCAACGGCCAAGAGAAAGATCGCCCCAGAAGCCGAAGCCCAGCTAGGGTTAAGCCGAAAAAGTTGGACTTCAAAGAAACCACGGAAATGATCAAACCGGAATGGGATGAAATTGCTGATCTTATCAACAACAAAGGTTTTGAAGAAGTTGATTTTGGGGGAAACGGAGATTGCGGATTCAGGGCCATTGGCTGCGCCTTGGATTACTACAAAGATCCTACCCAAGTCAGGACGCCAGAACAATGCCAACGTGCTGGCGCCAAACTCAGAAGTCAGGTGGTGACCCACTGCCGCAAACATGAAAAGAGCTTCCTTCCCTTTTTCGCTCCTGATCCTGAAACTGCTAACGAGGATCCTACTTTGCAATCACAATCCTCGTTTCAAGATTGGCTCGATGCTATGGGTCGACCTCGAACCTGGATTGATGGGATCGCACTGAGGGCCCTGTCCATCAAAACGGGTCATGTGATTGTAATTTGGAAGAAGGAAAACAAGAAGGCGCCGTGGCGGCGTACCACGTTGGCTCCTACCTTTGACCAAGGATGGGCCAAAGCTGCTAAGGGAACCCAGCCAATTGCTGTCCTTTTGAAGGATGATCACTACACTTGGCTCAAACCTCCACAAAAAGAGACCGTGCCCAATGCATGGTTAAAAGAAACGGTTTTTCCTGCCAGACATGAACTTCAAGGCGCTGCCAAGTCTTCGTCAAGCATGGCCACTCCTTCGGTCCACACCATTTCGTTGCATGGTACAAGTGCTAGGAGTTCTCGAAAACCCACGAATAATTTTAGTGATATGCCAACACCTTCTGCTCACATCATTGTTGGCCAGAACATGTTCGACTCGCCTTGTAAAACCAAGGCTTCCAAGCAACGCTCCAAAGGTAAAAAAAAGAGTCCTTTGAAGCGACTCAAACAGATGAGTCGAAGTCACACCACCAAGGACGACAGGGCACCTTGTACTCAGGTTGCGTCCGGGGACCCGGCCGCTATCACCAAGGTTCAGTGCCCGCATTGGAGTCAGGCCCATGCCTGGCTTCAGTCAATTTGTCAGGGCGTGCCGGACCAAGACTTGACTCCGGATTCACTCGGAACGCTCCAAGGTTGTTTGCTTGCTTGCAGTGCTGTCGCTCGTGCTGCAATGGAAAAAGTGTCTGATCCTGATTTTGCCCCTACGGCATTGACAGTAGAAGAGGACGCCGAAAGACTGGAAACTCCAGACGAACCTTCTCCTCGGAAAATCGCCAAAAAACGAACCAAACAGATCCCCAAGAATGCGGCGGAAGAACAAGCTTTGTTTGAGAGATATTCTTGGAAGTGTAACTTGTGTGATTTCGCATTTTCGGCCGCTTGCCTTGGTACGTGGGCTGCCAAGAAATCTAGGCACATTGAAAGATGTCACAAAAATGAAAAACATTTGATCGCTGATCGGAGAACTCAGTATCCTTTGGTTAAAGCCACCAAAGTCAAATGGGCTGCGCGGGGTTGGACATGCAGCAGGTGCGGGCTGGGGTTGCCATGGCTTCCGTCTAGTCAGTTGCAAAGAAGCAGAGATGCTCACCTTGCAAGCTGTGCTCCTGACCTCACCCCCGAACAAAATCGCATCATTTTGCGTAATGGCACCGCTGCTGTTGACATCAACTACCGGGTGGCAACGCGGAAAAAAACAGGTTGGCATTCTGCTGAGTGGCGTAAAGAAAGAATTCAAAAAGCCAAGTCTCAAGGTCATGAACTGTCTTGCTTCGTTCCTGATTCTGGTTTGTTAAAAAACCAATTTTTGAGATACACCTGCAGACATTGCAAACGAGTGCAGGGCGAAACCGATTGTTTTACTCGTAACAAGTGCATCAAGAGAAAATACCCCAAAACTCACATTTGGCGCAAAGTGCGGCTCACCCATGATCAGTTTGTGGGCCCTCTGGTCAAAATTTGGGGTTGGGGTCAGCAGCAGGTCAAAGATATGGATGCTCTCACCAACAGTGTGGGAGCTAACCCACGCCTCAAACAAAAACCGGTGCAGGCTAAACTTCCGAACCCTGGCAGCAAAGCTTGGTTCAAAAATCTGCCTGCTGATACGGGTCAGCAGCAGAAACCAGTCTCCAAGGCCAAAAATTGGCAACGGGATTTGTGTGATGAGGGCGTTGAGCCAAATCCAGGACCTCGAGCTCATCGCAGACGTTTGACAAAACTTAGGATTTGCAGCGTCAATATTGCAGGTAAGGAAAACTTGTGGAGCGCCCTGCCCCACCTGAAACCTAAGGAATTCGATGTGGTTTGTCTTCAGGAAGCCAACATGTCTGATGTCGAAATTAAGGTCTTGGCAGCTGCTGCTTGGAAATCAGGTTGGGTCACCTTCGCTTTGTCCAACAAGTGCTGCCGGGGAATGATAACTATGGTTGGTAAACACTGAAAAGTCGCATTGCTCACCAACTGGATACCTCTGGGGGGCAGTTGTTAGGCGTTCAGGTCGGTCACATGTGGGTGGGCAACGTGTATTGTGCCCATCATCCTGAAAGAGAAGCTTTCATGACGGAAGCTTTCCAGCTGTGTCACTCATGGTCCCCGAATGTTTGGACTCTTGTGGGTGATTTCAATGACACCCCTGAGGAATCGCCTTTGGCCTTTGGCCTTACCTCTTCAGGTTACAGCTCTTGTTTGCCACCTCCTGGGGTTAGCAGTAGATGGGAAAGCCAACGGGTCATCGATTTTGCGATTTGCAACGGTATTATCTTGGACTCCACTTTGAAGATGTGCCCCGAACGTTACAGTGATCACAAAGCTTTTTACTTTGACGTCAAAGCTGAAGGTGCAGATGAGGCTCTTACTAAGGTTGTGATGGTTCCAGCAAACGTGTATTTGCCTCAAGATACCGACCGAGGTATCGATTGGACAGAACGCCTGGCGGACGCCTGGCAGCAAAATAGACAAGTTTGGCAGGAATTTAAAGTGAAAGCTGAACAAGAAATCCGCGAAGCCGACAACATGTCAGAAGCGGTCAAACAGCATAAAAGTGACCGAATTTGGGACCACCTGAATTTGTTACTCGAAACGTTTCTTCAGAAACAGGCTCAGTGGGCTCAGGAACATGAGTTGCCTATGCGGCCCTACAGAAAAGCTAAACGGGCCAAGGGGTCCATCCCCACTTTTCGTCATGTCCCTTTGGTCATCCACCAACCCCACGCTCCGAATGCCTCTAATCAGCTTCGCACCTGGATGCGGTTGTGGGGAAGGCTCAGTGAGGCCGAGAGAAGACAGCATCATGACAACACTGTTGAGAATTCTAAGGATCTTCAAAAGCTTTGGAAACGCATCCGCAGATGCCCTCTGTACCAAGCAGGAATGACTGCCAAGGATGCCGAAACTGAGGTTCAGCGTCAAACCGAGGCGAGCCGGCAGAGCAGACTTAGCAATTGGAAGGTTCGCTTGCAGCAAGATAACGCTCAGGTCTTTCGATGGGTGCGGTCCTCCGAATCGGCGCCCACTGTTACCTTGTATGACGACGAAGTCGATCCTGACGACCCAGCTAGCATGGACAGCTCTGGTGCCTTGGTCAAAATCGAATCCTTTTGGCAGAGAGCTTGGAACCGTGACAATAGCGATGCTTGGACTCCGCAGCAATATCTTCGTGAATATGGCGGGGCCCCTGAAGTCGAAGAAAATTGGAGCCCTGTTTCTGCACAGGCTCTTAGTGCCCCGGCTGCTAGACAAAGGCACCGAGCCGGGCAGCGAAATGGCAGCTTGGCCGTACAACATGTGGGCTGACCTGGAATTTGTGTTTCAAGCCTGGGAGCAGCTGGGATGTTTCCCAAAGTGCTGGCACTTCATGACACAGGTGATGCTCCCCAAAGGAAACGGTCAAAGGCTCTCTGACAGCGCCACCCCGACCAGCAAACTTCGACCAATAAGCCTCATGTCGTGTTGGTGGAGAATTTATGTGAGTGCCCGCTTAGATGGGGACATCGAAAGACGTTGGTTGGAATCGCATTTGTTGACTACCCAGGCTGGAGGTAGGCGCAATCGAGACAGTCAAGGTAGCTTTTGTGAACTTGCTGAGGGATTTGCCAAAGGAGCCTATGTGGGATCATTAGATCTCTCCAAGTGCTTTGACCATGTGCGCCCGAGCTTGGCTTGTGATACTTTAGTTTGGAAAGGTTTTCCCCGAAAATTGGCGGCTGCTATTCAAAAAATTTGGGAAGGTCAATTGCGTATCCTTTCGTGGAACAAAGAAGTGTGCCCCCGAATCCAAGGTGTGCGTAGTAGCATCCCGCAAGGCGATAGTCTTTCGCCGAGAGTTCTCAATTTGATCATGAGTATGCCCATGCGTCATATTGTGCAACAAGAGCCTGACACTTGTCACGTTGTTTTTGTCGATGATAGATCTTGGTGTTCTCCCACCTTGCCTTCCTTTCTGAATGTTCTCCATCTTTGGCATGAACACTCGGCAAAGCTGGGATTCAAAGAAAACAAGCTTAAAAGTCAGTTCACTCACAGGCAGCCTACCAAGCGTCAAGATATGATGCAGTTAGAAGAGCTGTGCAATGGAGTGACTGAAAACCTTTTTGCCTTAGGCGCTGCTATGGGTTTTGGGTCCATGCTGCCTAAGGAACAAGGCCGCATTGAAAAGGCAATGGCTTGTGCTGCTAAGGTTCGTTTGGCTCCTATCTCAGCAGCTCGAAGATCGTTTGTTGGCGCACTTGCCGCAGGTAGCAAAGCAACTTACGGGTGGTTGGTCCGTGCTCCCCCTGGAACCGGGCTCATGTCTAAGTTGGAAACTCGTCTCCGAAGGGTGGGCTACTGCCATCGCATGTCCTCTCCTGCGCTCATTAGGTTGGTGATGGGTCACCCAGTGGACATTCAGTTTCAATCTGGTGCGGCGCTCATCGGTGCGGTTCATCGCACTGTTCGTCGGATCCGAAGAATCTTCAGTGATTGGGACCTCTCTGGAGGTCCGGCTCAGAGAGCCAAGAAATGGCTTCAGTCTCTTGGATGGTCATCTGTGGTGCCTTGGGTTTGGCAACACCCTGCATTCCATTTCAAGCTTAGTCTGAATCCTAGCTCAGAAGACTGGTCTGATGATTCTGAGTGGATCGCTCATCTCCTTCGCGAGGCATGGAGGTGGCATTGGTGGCAAAAGTACATGGCATCCCAACGTCATGAACTGGTTGAATTTGGGGATAGGGAGTACCCAAAGTTGCTTCTTGAAAACACTCGGAAAATGACTTCGGGTGCCAATAAGAATGTCATTGCTGTTTTGACGGGTGCATTTGTGTCTCCGCAGATGCGGACAAAGCAGGCTGACGATGTTCAGGAAAAGTGTCCGTGGTGTGACGGCTGTGGTCATTTTCATCATGTGGCATGGGAGTGTCAAAATTCTCCTCAGGCGCGAAGTCGCCCGGTTATTCCTCAGGATCCATTAGTGCGAAGATTTGGTTGGGGTGATAATCAGGTGGTGCAACATTTGGCTGCTTGCCGTGACCTGCTCCTGAGGTGCAGGTACGGTGGCAACTAAGGTGGCAGTGCTTTGCGGGTGGTGGGCCCTCTGCTGCGTGGTGCAGCGGAATGGTGCGGCTTTGCTGCGCCGAGTGGCCGCTGCCGTTGTCTATGCTGCTGCTGACTGGCCTTCTCGGCATTCCGCACTACGCCTCCAAGTGGGGGATGCGGGCTTGGATGCAGCGCTGTCTGCAGCGCGGCTCTGGGTACGGAGTAGTGCAGCTTGGATGCGTGGTTTTAGCCACGCTGACACAGAGTATGAAAGAACAGAGGAATTCAAAAATGCATCAAGAAGAAAAACATCAAAAAAAAGAAAAAAAGCAAAATCAAAAAAACAAAGAAAAAGAAGAGCTGGAAAGCCAAAAAAAAAAGAAGAAGTGACATCCTTCAGAAAAAAGCTCGTAGTGAGCAACAGAAGGATGACCAGGGTTGGCTGGGCGCCGTGGCTGCGGCTGTGCTGCTGCTTGTGTCTGCTTTTGCCTGCCTCCGCATGTCAGGAAACCTGGGCTGATTTCGCTTCGATCTCAGCCCCATGGAATCCGTCCACTGAACTTTGTGGACAGAAAGCACCGCCTGATCTCGAAATGACCTCGGGCCTTTGGAAAAGCATCAGTTTCTCTACCGGCCTTCCTGGTATGGCAAAGACGCATATCAAAGGCCCCCCAGAACACCTCGACGTCACCAGTGGGCAAGCCATGTCGGCTGCCTGTCGACGTCGTGTGCGCTGTCACTCCGCCGTGCCGCTGCTTGTTGCTCCGCGGCGCTGGGAGATGCTGCGCTTGAGTATAGATGGAGCACGTGAGATTTTGATTTCGAGGCTGCAGCAGTTTCTTGCAGGAATTGATGCCTGGCTTTTGCAGTCGCCTCTGTGGCTCATGTGTGTTGGGTTGAGTTTTTTGGGAGAGTTATGCCATTGGTTACTGTGGTTGTATGTTTGTCGGTACTATCCGGTCACCATTAAACCCCCCAGAAGACTTGTTCGACCTAAGCTGCGTAAAGTGGTGGTTCCCACTTGGTTTCAGCTACTCAAAAGAACAGGTCCATGGCGACAAGCATGCCAACGGTGCCTGTGTGACACTGTGGTCCAAAAAGCTAGGATGGTTGGTCCGCAGAGAATTTGTGGAATTAGAGGTGCTAGGGGTCTGGGCAATTGTTTCAGAGCGGCCCCTTTGAAAAGCATTGGCAGTCAAGACAATGCTCGGGTCCGAAAGTGCGTCTTTTTGATCCAAAACAGATGGAATATTCAGGTGCCAAAAACACCTGAAGTTGCGTTTCAATGTGCTGCAACGTCCAGCCCTCAGATTGCCAACGCCATGGATTCGCAATGCGCACAACCAGCCGGTCCAAGGGGACATCTTGGCAATAGGGTTGTGCATGCCGTCACAAGTTTTTTGGACAAATGGAACAGTCACTCTCAGTGCATGGCTGCCAAAATAAACAAGGAAACTGATGATGCTCACAGTGGAAAAGAAAATCATTTCGGATTGCCTCAGTGGGCTTGGAATCTCAGGGGTGGTATGCCTATGGGGTCCCGTGTCACGCGCAGAAAAAGACAAGAAAAGCAAGACAACAACAGTCTTGCCAGTGCCCTGGGAGAATTTTTGTCACAATGGCAGAAACAACACCCGCCAGCACGGAAAACACAGAAAACCAGTTCTACGGCGTCTTCCCAGGATTGGTACAAGGGGTCGAGCGATGATTACGACTATGGTTATTGGAATTACGAGGCCCCCCAAACTCATTCTGATGAGAATTTGGTTCAAACCTTGTTGACCTTCTTGAATACTTGTCAACAACAAAAAACCAAAGACGAAGAGGTGGTTGAACACTTGCAAAACACTCTCTGGGAATGGGAGCAAACCAAACGTCCTGCCCAACGCGCGAACCTCAGAAACAACTTTGGGGTTGAGCAGTCGGGAAAAACCACGGTCAGACCACAGTCGCAACCTCAGATCGCGCATGGTCCGCCTATCAGTGCTGTCAACCCTTGTGAATGGTCAATGGCCATCAAACTGGGGCATAAGAATGCTTACATTCAACAAGTTGGTGACGGGAAACAGAGTGAGTACAACTTGGTGTGTGTTCGAAGCCTGGATGATTTATTGGAAATCCAAGACATGAGAAAAGCCATGGAATGTCTTTCTCCATTATCTGTTTTGATTGATGGTAAAGTTTCATTGGCTGAAGGTCGGCATGTGAAGGTGTCAGTTAAACGTGGCCCAAATAGAATGAAACTTGAAGAAATGACTTTTGCTTGCCTTGGTTTGGCTTCTTTGGCTCCCAAACCTAGGGATCCCAAAACTACCAATCTTCAGAAATATCAGCCTGATCCCAAAGTCTCCATCCGGGTCTGCGCTCCTGCTCAGTATCGAGAGGCCCTTTTGCCACAAGGGGAATGGGACAAAGCGAAGTCCATTTTGACCGAAATGGCCAACTGGAAAGTGACGCCCGTGTCAACCCTTGTCGGCGGAACATGGCAATGGAAAAAAGTAGGCAAGTGCCATACTCTTGTCGGCCACCTTCGTGTGAGCCCTAAGGTGGCTGCTGCTCTCGAATCTCAAAGCGGAAAGCGGGCGATTTTTGTCACAGCTACTGGGGTTGGGCGACGTCCTGAAAAGGTCAGATGGCTGCTCAAAGCGGCTTCCATGACTTGTGATAATTATCTCCGGCAAAGCATGAATGAGGCCATTGCTCGTGGCCAATCCTTGAAATTTCGGATGGGTGGAGGTTCGGATATTGGCATTCTGTATCTTCCCACTGATAGCATACCCAAAAAGAATATCCACGTTCATATTGACGGTGTCCCGAGAAGTTGGGACGCCACGCATGTCACGACTTTCATGGAAGAACAAGGGTGGGAACAAGTTGCGCCCATCACCTGGAGAAATTTCCGTCGCCAGGTCAAATGGATTTTGAAAGCTCAGCCTCCTGATGATCCTTATGATCCAACCAATTCCAATTGCACTTGGCATTATGTGGACGATGTTGACCAAAGTTTAGAAATCCATGTCACTAAGGCGGAGGGTCGGTTTCCTAAGCCTCAGCATGTGCAGCCTGCCACTCCTCCAAAGCGCAGGTTCGAAACACAGAAACGAACTCATGAGGATCATGAAGTTCTTGATACACAGATTGATGAACCTGAAAACAGTGAAGAAGATGAAGAGGCCGTTGAGGGTGATGGCAACGGCCAAGAGAAAGAACGCCCCAGAAGCCGAAGCCCAGCTAGGGTTAAGCCGAAAAAGTTGGACTTCAAAGAAACCACGGAAATGATCAAACCGGAATGGGATGAAATTGCTGATCTTATCAACAACAAAGGTTTTGAAGAAGTTGATTTTGGGGGAAACGGAGATTGCGGATTCAGGGCCATTGGCTGCGCCTTGGATTACTACAAAGATCCTACCCAAGTCAGGACGCCAGAACAATGCCAACGTGCTGGCGCCAAACTCAGAAGTCAGGTGGTGACCCACTGCCGCAAACATGAAAAGAGCTTCCTTCCCTTTTTCGCTCCTGATCCTGAAACTGCTAACGAGGATCCTACTTTGCAATCACAATCCTCGTTTCAAGATTGGCTCGATGCTATGGGTCGACCTCGAACCTGGATTGATGGGATCGCACTGAGGGCCCTGTCCATCAAAACGGGTCATGTGATTGTAATTTGGAAGAAGGAAAACAAGAAGGCGCCGTGGCGGCGTACCACGTTGGCTCCTACCTTTGACCAAGGATGGGCCAAAGCTGCTAAGGGAACCCAGCCAATTGCTGTCCTTTTGAAGGATGATCACTACACTTGGCTCAAACCTCCACAAAAAGAGACCGTGCCCAATGCATGGTTAAAAGAAACGGTTTTTCCTGCCAGACATGAACTTCAAGGCGCTGCCAAGTCTTCGTCAAGCATGGCCACTCCTTCGGTCCACACCATTTCGTTGCATGGTAAAAGTGCTAGGAGTTCTCGAAAACCCACGAATAATTTTAGTGATATGCCAACACCTTCTGCTCACACCATTGTTGGCCAGAACATGTTCGACTCGCCTTGTAAAACCAAGGCTTCCAAGCAACGCTCCAAAGGTAAAAAAAAGAGTCCTTTGAAGCGACTCAAACAGATGAGTCGAAGTCACACCACCAAGGACGACAGGGCACCTAGTACTCAGGTTGCGTCCGGGGACCCGGCCGCTATCACCAAGGTTCAGTGCCCGCATTGGAGTCAGGCCCATGCCTGGCTTCAGTCAATTTGTCAGGGCGTGCCGGACCAAGACTTGACTCCGGATTCACTCGGAACGCTCCAAGGTTGTTTGCTTGCTTGCAGTGCTGTCACTCGTGCGGTCCATGCTGCAATGGAAAAAGTGTCTGATCCTGATTTTGCCCCTACGGCATTGACAGTAGAAGAGGACGCCGAAAGACTGGAAACTCCAGACGAACCTTCTCCTCGGAAAATCGCCAAAAAACGAACCAAACAGATCCCCAAGAATGCGGCGGAAGAACAAGCTTTGTTTGAGAGATATTCTTGGAAGTGTAACTTGTGTGATTTCGCATTTTCGGCCGCTTGCCTTGGTACGTGGGCTGCCAAGAAATCTAGGCACATTGAAAGATGTCACAAAAATGAAAAACATTTGATCGCTGATCGGAGAACTCAGTATCCTTTGGTTAAAGCCACCAAAGTCAAATGGGCTGCGCGGGGTTGGACATGCAGCAGGTGCGGGCTGGGGTTGCCATGGCTTCCGTCTAGTCAGTTGCAAAGAAGCAGAGATGCTCACCTTGCAAGCTGTGCTCCTGACCTCACCCCCGAACAAAATCGCATCATTTTGCGTAATGGCACCGCTGCTGTTGACATCAACTACCGGGTGGCAACGCGGAAAAAAACAGGTTGGCATTCTGCTGAGTGGCGTAAAGAAAGAATTCAAAAAGCCAAGTCTCAAGGTCATGAACTGTCTTGCTTCGTTCCTGATTCTGGTTTGTTAAAAAACCAATTTTTGAGATACACCTGCAGACATTGCAAACGAGTGCAGGGCGAAACCGATTGTTTTACTCGTAACAAGTGCATCAAGAGAAAATACCCCAAAACTCACATTTGGCGCAAAGTGCGGCTCACCCATGATCAGTTTGTGGGCCCTCTGGTCAAAATTTGGGGTTGGGGTCAGCAGCAGGTCAAAGATATGGATGCTCTCACCAACAGTGTGGGAGCTAACCCACGCCTCAAACAAAAACCGGTGCAGGCTAAACTTCCGAACCCTGGCAGCAAAGCTTGGTTCAAAAATCTGCCTGCTGATACGGGTCAGCAGCAGAAACCAGTCTCCAAGGCCAAAAATTGGCAACGGGATTTGTGTGATGAGGGCGTTGAGCCAAATCCAGGACCTCGAGCTCATCGCAGACGTTTGACAAAACTTAGGATTTGCAGCGTCAATATTGCAGGTAAGGAAAACTTGTGGAGCGCCCTGCCCCACCTGAAACCTAAGGAATTCGATGTGGTTTGTCTTCAGGAAGCCAACATGTCTGATGTCGAAATTAAGGTCTTGGCAGCTGCTGCTTGGAAATCAGGTTGGGTCACCTTCGCTCTGTCCAACAAGTGCTGCCGGGGAATGATAACTATGGTTGGTAAACACCTGAAAAGTCGCATTGCTCACCAACTGGATACCTCTGGGGGGCAGTTGTTAGGCGTTCAGGTCGGTCACATGTGGGTGGGCAACGTGTATTGTGCCCATCATCCTGAAAGAGAAGCTTTCATGACGGAAGCTTTCCAGCTGTGTCACTCATGGTCCCCGAATGTTTGGACTCTTGTGGGTGATTTCAATGACACCCCTGAGGAATCGCCTTTGGCCTTTGGCCTTACCTCTTCAGGTTACAGCTCTTGTTTGCCACCTCCTGGGGTTAGCAGTAGATGGGAAAGCCAACGGGTCATCGATTTTGCGATTTGCAACGGTATTATCTTGGACTCCACTTTGAAGATGTGCCCCGAACGTTACAGTGATCACAAAGCTTTTTACTTTGACGTCAAAGCTGAAGGTGCAGATGGGGCTCTTACTAAGGTTGTGATGGTTCCAGCAAACGTGTATTTGCCTCAAGATACCGACCGAGGTATCGATTGGACAGAACGCCTGGCGGACGCCTGGCAGCAAAATAGACAAGTTTGGCAGGAATTTAAAGTGAAAGCTGAACAAGAAATCCGCGAAGCCGACAACATGTCAGAAGCGGTCAAACAGCATAAAAGTGACCGAATTTGGGACCACCTGAATTTGTTACTCGAAACGTTTCTTCAGAAACAGGCTCAGTGGGCTCAGGAACATGAGTTGCCTATGCGGCCCTACAGAAAAGCTAAACGGGCCAAGGGGTCCATCCCCACTTTTCGTCATGTCCCTTTGGTCATCCACCAACCCCACGCTCCGAATGCCTCTAATCAGCTTCGCACCTGGATGCGGTTGTGGGGAAGGCTCAGTGAGGCCGAGAGAAGACAGCATCATGACAACACTGTTGAGAATTCTAAGGATCTTCAAAAGCTTTGGAAACGCATCCGCAGATGCCCTCTGTACCAAGCAGGAATGACTGCCAAGGATGCCGAAACTGAGGTTCAGCGTCAAACCGAGGCGAGCCGGCAGAGCAGACTTAGCAATTGGAAGGTTCGCTTGCAGCAAGATAACGCTCAGGTCTTTCGATGGGTGCGGTCCTCCGAATCGGCGCCCACTGTTACCTTGTATGACGACGAAGTCGATCCTGACGACCCAGCTAGCATGGACAGCTCTGGTGCCTTGGTCAAAATCGAATCCTTTTGGCAGAGAGCTTGGAACCGTGACAATAGCGATGCTTGGACTCCGCAGCAATATCTTCGTGAATATGGCGGGGCCCCTGAAGTCGAAGAAAATTGGAGCCCTGTTTCTGCACAGGCTCTTAGTGCCTCGGCTGCTAGACAAAGGCACCGAGCCGGGGGCCCTGACGGCTGGACTGGCAGCGAAATGGCAGCTTGGCCGTACAACATGTGGGCTGACCTGGAATTTGTGTTTCAAGCCTGGGAGCAACTGGGATGTTTCCCAAAGTGCTGGCACTTCATGACACAGGTGATGCTCCCCAAAGGAAACGGTCAAAGGCTCTCTGACAGCGCCACCCCGACCAGCAAACTTCGACCAATAAGCCTCATGTCGTGTTGGTGGAGAATTTATGTGAGTGCCCGCTTAGATGGGGACATCGAAAGACGTTGGTTGGAATCGCATTTGTTGACTACCCAGGCTGGAGGTAGGCGCAATCGAGACAGTCAAGGTAGCTTTTGTGAACTTGCTGAGGGATTTGCCAAAGGAGCCTATGTGGGATCATTAGATCTCTCCAAGTGCTTTGACCATGTGCGCCCGAGCTTGGCTTGTGATACTTTAGTTTGGAAAGGTTTTCCCCGAAAATTGGCGGCTGCTATTCAAAAAATTTGGGAAGGTCAATTGCGTATCCTTTCGTGGAACAAAGAAGTGTGCCCCCGAATCCAAGGTGTGCGTAGTAGCATCCCGCAAGGCGATAGTCTTTCGCCGAGAGTTCTCAATTTGATCATGAGTATGCCCATGCGTCATATTGTGCAACAAGAGCCTGACACTTGTCACGTTGTTTTTGTCGATGATAGATCTTGGTGTTCTCCCACCTTGCCTTCCTTTCTGAATGTTCTCCATCTTTGGCATGAACACTCGGCAAAGCTGGGATTCAAAGAAAACAAGCTTAAAAGTCAGTTCGCTCACAGGCAGCCTACCAAGCGTCAAGATATGATGCAGTTAGAAGAGCTGTGCAATGGAGTGACTGAAAACCTTTTTGCCTTAGGCGCTGCTATGGGTTTTGGGTCCATGCTGCCTAAGGAACAAGGCCGCATCGAAAAGGCAATGGCTTGTGCTGCTAAGGTTCGTTTGGCTCCTATCTCAGCAGCTCGAAGATCGTTTGTTGGCGCACTTGCCGCAGGTAGCAAAGCAACTTACGGGTGGTTGGTCCGTGCTCCCCCTGGAACCGGGCTCATGTCTAAGTTGGAAACTCGTCTCCGAAGGGTGGGCTACTGCCATCGCATGTCCTCTCCTGCGCTCATTAGGTTGGTGATGGGTCACCCAGTGGACATTCAGTTTCAATGTGGTGCGGCGCTCATCGGTGCGGTTCATCGCACTGTT